GTAGGTTTTGAGACTAATATGATTCCCTGTGTCTTTTTTTTATATACTAGCTAGGCATTATTTATCTTTCCTTTCTCTCTCCCTATCTAACTTTCCCTCCATGCCATCCCCATTTAAATAAAGTATCTCCATTTTCCCCATTTCTCCCTTGATAATACCTGTCTCCTATGGTCCCACCTTCTCTTGAGCTCCTTTTTCTCCTTTAGCCCGTAGTTCCTTGCATAACCCACGCTCCTCCCATCCCATTTAAACACCCCATTTTACCCATTTCTTGCTTAGTAACACCTGTCTCCTACTGTTCTTCTTGGATCTATAATTTCTATTTGGTTAAATTTGTGTCTTTTTTTTTAATTCCGAGATTCTTCGGGACTTCTTTAATCACTGCAACTTTCTTTAAAATTCTTGATAGGTAATTCCAACATCTGATTCATTTCAGTGTTGGCTTTAACTGATTGTCTTTTCTCATTCAGCTGTGATTTTCCTGGTCTTTATATTGATGATTGCTTTTCTATTATGTCCTGGATAGTTGGGTTGTTATGTTAGAAGACTCTAGATCCTATTTTAAAAACTGTAACAGGAAACGACTCACTGGTCCTGGCACACTTTTTTGAATTGTAGTTGCAATGATGGTACAACTTTGGGAATCTGTGTTGGGCTGTTTTCAGCTCACTGGCTAATTTCATGTATCTCTGTTCCCACTTCTCCTTGGTCGTGGAGCTTGATAATACAGAGCATTTTTCACCAGGTCAGTACTTGTCTTCATGTGGAGGAGCATTTTCAGTCTGTGTAAAGGGTGTTTCTGGCTCAGTACTTCTTGTGTCAGGCTGGGGTTTTAGTCATGCAGTGTTTGTGGTAGCGAGGATTTTGGGAAATGGAAAAGCTTTAAGGCTATGAGAATAGAAGCTTCTTGTCCTGGACACTTAATGTTTTCCAACTGTTTTGTTTTGTTTGTTTGTTTGTTTGTTTGTTTTCAACACAGGTTGTTTTTCATGTCATTATTACTCTGTGAGAACAAAACCCAATCTGGAATCTCCTTCAATTCTTCAAGAGCCAGGGACATATAACTGAGCTTTAATAAATTATATCTCAGAGATCTGAAAGACCAGAAGACACATCTAGAAGTGACTTTTTTGTAAGACAGGGTCTCCCTATAGCCCCAGCTGACATGGAACTGATGATGTGGACAAGAATGGCCTCAATATCACAAAGGTCCACTGGCCTTTGCTTCCCAAGTGCTGGTTTTAAAAGCATGTGACTTAATTTAACTAGGTAGGCATGCAAATATCTACTCCTCTTTTCAATTACCTGTTGAGAACAGGTCTTTAAAAATTCTTTATTATCATATTGATATATATTTAATATTGTAATTATTTCCTTTTCTTTTCCCCTACCATCAAGACTCCTCACTACTTGGTGCAGTACATAGTCCGAAACAGGTATTCGACGGATTCATTAACTACAGACTGACACCATCCCCGTTAGCATTGCTACCATCGTCTTCTCTGTTTAAAGATAAGGTTTTGAAAGGATGAATAACTGAATGTAAGCCAGTTTGCACATTTAGTTGATGGAGAGCTAGAATTCAAATCCAAGTCTTATTCCTTTCAAGCCTTCATTCATAAACAATTAACACTGACTTACCTAGCTATCTGATGAGACTTGAAGCTTCTCAAGGGTATGAATTATTCTATGTTCAGATTTTATAAAACATGAACTATGCCATATACAATTATATGGCATAGACATTTTCAAATTACTGATTAGAGGGATATTTTTTAAATGTTATATATATATATATGTGCTATGTATATACATGAATGTAAGTGCACTTGGGTTGTATTATGCACATGGAGGTCAAAAGAGGGAGTTGGAGTCCCTGGAACTGAAGTTAAGGACTATTGTTAGCTGCCATGCAGGTGCTGGGAATGGAACCCCGGTCCTTTGCAAGAGCAACCAGTACTCTTAACTACTGAGCCCTCTCTCTATCACCTACAGTGTAGCTATATGCTGTACAGAACAGCTACACATAAATAAAAAAGTAAAATAGGTAATGAAACAGAAACTGACTGCCAAGGGTTTTGAGTGTATGACTTTCAGCCTTTTATTTTAACCTAGTATCAAATAACAATCACTTTTTCATGCTTGCCAGTTTCTGAAATCTGAGATATTTTATAAAATTTTATATTTATTGTACCTTTTACACTATTTCATCAAAACTTGAAAATAATTTAGGATGTAATAAGACTTGAGAGAAGGTTGCATACTAAACACATTTCTACAATTGTGACTTCTCTGCATGAAAATATGGTAGAATAGTGGTTTTTGCTAAATGAACATATGCAGATACTAGCAGGTTTAGGAATATATAATTACAGGGAAACAAAAATAATTCAGAAATCATTTTTATTATTTTCCAATTAAAGTAATATGTTTATGATAGTGATATAAAAGTTTCAGTTGAATTTGATGACCAATTAAATAAGAAAAAAGTGATTTATAAAACCTTATTAAAAAGAGAAGTTCTGGGGCCTGGAGAGATGGCTCAGTGATTAAGAGCACTGACTGTTCTTGCAGAGGACCCGGGTTCAATTCCCAGCACCCACATGGTGACTACGAACCGTCCTTCACTCCAGTTCCAGGGGAATCTGAAGCTCTCTTCTGACCTCTGTGGCATTGCACGACATGGGTGCACTCACATACATGCAGGCAATACACTCATACACATAAAATAAAAATAATAAATAAAATTTTTAAAAAAGAAAGAAGTTATTTATTTGCTGAGGCTTCTTTTTCCTACATTGTATTTTCTGTAATACAGATAGTAAGTTTTTCCTCCCAGAGTCTGTGGAAGTATAGATTTCAAAAAGTAAAAAAGCAGCCACCTATAAATCAAGAACCTAGTTATGTTATTTCCTTTGGAGACATGGGTACAAACTGTTCAACTCAGCTTCTTTGTATGGTAAAGAAATGTATTTTATATTGTGTTGCATGTACACATATATACGTATATATTATGTATATATGTAATTTGTGTAAATACACACACTGGTTCCATTGTAGCTAGTTTATTTCTTTAAAATAAGGAGAAATCATAAAATACAGGGCAAAGGAAAAACTATGAATCGTGATAGAAAATATTGCAGTTGATACCTAAGAAGAAAGAAAGAGAAAACAGAAGAACCCAGTTGTCAGGAGTGATGGGCAGTCAAGTGCTGTGATGGGGAAGGAGAGAAAAGAGCAGAGGACAGAGGTGCAAGGTCGAAATGCAGGTCAAAAATTGAAGGGTAGAAAGAAAATAGTAGCCTGAGGAGATGAAGAAATGAGATGGTGGGAGGGAGGAGAGCGAGAGGGAGAGCGTCAGCATTCTCAGCTTATAATGACTATTCAGTGTTATTATTATCTCATCAAGGTTTTGATCTTATGTTAAATTTTAAGAAAAAAGTCTACAATTTTTAATCTGAGAACATAAATTATATGTATCTTCTTTAATATTTAACAGCACGAAAGCATATGACATAAACAATATCCTTTCTGCAAAAGGCATATCAGACTTATAGGAAACAGTCCAGGAATACTTTAGAGGGCAATTATTTCAAAGTGTGGCCTACAATCCTCTAAGAGCCCACCTGGCTAAGGGAACAGAAAATGGCTTATTCTCACTGATTTTTGTCCTATACAGATAGGATTCTCCAATATAGTGTGGGAACTTTGAAAAGGGAAATAGCTTACCTGTTTACCTTTATCACCCAGGGCAGTGTTAGTAAATTAAAAAAACATATTTAATGTGTGCTTCATTGAGTAAATGAGAACACTATGAATGAAAGGATGAAATCCTGAGCTATAACAGAGACTTTATAAGTGAGCATCAAGCACTTCCTTCCATACAATTATATCATGCAAGGGTTCCATTTTTTTCCTTCTATAAATAAGATCATTGTGAATCACGAATACTTTTGCCCCACATTTGTTTGTAGCCTACAGTTTCACAAGTCATTCTATGAAAAAATAAAGGACAGTCGTGTATCAAGCACATTCTGTGTGTGAATGGACAGGATGTGGAGTCACAGAGGCCTTCTCAATTGGCCAGCTCTTAGCCCCTCTGCTCCAGATAGTTACAGCTTTCATAGCAGTTCTGTGGAAGCAACTTGGTCTAACGCAAGCATCCCTCTCAGGGCAGCTGCATCCTAAGCATACAGTCCTCCCTCTGAGGTGTTCAGTAGGATTCCAAGTCAAGGCAGCATAATCCTATTTTCACTGTTTCTCATTAAATATTAGTTCTCCATGTTTCTCCCGTGGAAAGGCACAGAAAGGAATGGTAGATTTGAATGACTTGTCCCTAGACTCTAGCTCATTACTGACTTAGTTTAGTGTTCTGATCTAGGGGGATATGTTTTATGTACACGCTACATTCTGCTAATCCTGACTTAATGATACCTGATCTAAATTACTTTTAAGACTTACTAAATTGCCCACTAATTTAGTCAGTGTGATGACTGCTACTTTTTCCAAGTTCTGCAACTGGTTGAAAAATGACGTATACAAAGCCAAATAATTATTATGATTCATCTGAAGCTCCCAATTTTAATTTGTGAAAGGAGTGCTATTTTAATGAGAGTAAAATGTAGTTATTTTGACAGGTGAATTTACCTAATTCTATTATTATGAAACAGGCTGAAAAGTTTTGAGTTGGCTCATAAACCAATTCCATAATGTTCCTGGGAGTAATTCTATCTTGAATAACAAGGTTTTCCTGTTTCAGTTTTCATTGCTCTCACTTTGTGTTTCATCACTGTCTTTGGAAAGTGACTGAATGAGGCACAAAGCAATTGTTTCTCCTTTGAACCACGAAATTTATGCTGACTGTGAATAAGATAAAATTTTCTAGTATTAAGTCAGTTAGTCGGTATAGTTAAGAAAATATTTCTTCTTTTTAGTTACCAAATAATATTTTTTTGACCTGCTTGTGGAGAGGACTCATAAAAATTTTTTCATGTTCACAGGTGATGGAAATCAAAGGACAAATGATCCACGTCCCAGAATCAAACTCCATTTTGTTTCTGGGCTCCCCATGTGTTGACAAGTTGGATGAACTCATGGGACGAGGGCTGCATCTCTCAGACATCCCTATCCATGATGCTACTCGAGATGTTATTTTGGTTGGCGAACAAGCAAAGGCCCAAGATGGCTTGAAGAAGAGGATGGATAAATTAAAGGCCACTTTAGAAAGAACTCACCAGGCCCTGGAAGAAGAGAAGAAGAAGACAGTCGACCTTCTGTATTCCATTTTCCCTGGTGATGTAGCCCAGCAGTTGTGGCAAGGGCAGCAGGTGCAGGCCAGAAAGTTTGATGATGTAACCATGCTGTTTTCAGACATTGTGGGCTTCACAGCCATATGTGCCCAGTGCACTCCCATGCAAGTGATCAGCATGCTCAATGAGCTCTACACCAGATTCGACCACCAGTGTGGATTTTTGGACATTTACAAGGTAATAAAGTTGAGCTACTTATATATTGGTACTGTTTAATAGCAAATTCTCAATTTACAAGAGTACATTCTTTACTCAAACTTGATGGAACATGATCCATACCTCTTTGGAAATCTTAATACAGGATACAAGTTCTTATGCTTTCTGAGCAAACACTCATAATTTTATAAACTAATAGTGTTGACTTAGTTAACCGTGAACCATCATATTGCTTATGAAGAAAAAAAATTCTGTATAGTAGTCTTCTAAATTCATTGTTATTAACCAATTAAGCTACAATACTATACAAATTTGAATCACATTATTTTCTTTAGACAGTTAGACTCTAATATACACTAACAATATTATTTTGATGGATAAAAGGAAACAGCAAGTTATCTTAAAATATGGATTATATTATAAAATACTCACCAATCAGCATTTTTATAAAGTCAACTAGTGAGATCCATTCATTTCTAAAATAATATGGCTGCATATTCTGGCTCTTCCCAAGTGATACATAGTTCTTGGAATCAGCTTGATCTCAGCTTTGTAACAGAAAACCTTAAAAAATGGGCAACAATAACTGTTTTTGATTTGGCAAACTCCTTATTAGTTTCTTGCTACAATTGTAACCATGATTTGAGGACTTCAAACCTCTACCTGCTTAATGAAATACACATTTTACATGGATTGCACCATGTCAGAGTTCCTGGCTTTTTTTATATGTAAGGCATCAAAAGACATTTGGTTTAAAAGTAAACATGATTTTCAGTATTCCTCCTTACTAATTCATCTAGACTAGCTGCTTTGTTTCATAGTGTGAGAAGTATATTAAAAAAATTTGGAAAGAACTCATCTATTTCATTTTATAACCCAGAAGGTATTTTCATTAAGATGTGTGTCCTTGGAGGAAAGAGGCTCTTTATTCTCACCATACAGAATACACAGATAATATTCTGTCTTAAATTGGTAAACAGTGTGGAGGACGTACAAAAGATTTGCTTGTTTTATAAAATAAGCATTTTTAAGAAACACCTTAAACTTCTTTATAATTTATTACTACATAATTTTTGGTAGAGATAGCTCAAAGTCTGTTTCTAAGCTAGAGAGGCATCCCAAGCCTGTCTCTGTTATACACTGGCATTTTCAGAGAGAGAAGAAAGCTGCTTGAATTTGTGCTTTCCTTCCTCTAGACTTGGGTGTAACTGTATCAATATCTGCAGCTACCAATCCTGTTCTAAATCACCGACTTTCTAATCGCTTCTCCTGTCTTGCATTTTTCTATTTTAAGTTCATATCATTAAGTGAAAAAGATAGATAAATAAATTCATTTTTGAAAACACATGAGATTTCCTAGTTTAAAGCATCAGCTAGGCTCTGAATAAAGAAGAAATGTGATATCTTCTGAGGGTAACAAAACAATTTCAAAGCTCAAAATGTAATTGGATTTCACAGACACCCTGTTTTTCTTCCCTTGAGATAAGATAGGATACCTCAAAGGGAAAGAAAACCTGTGGAAATATCCTGTATGATCTTCAAATTTTCCTGTATGTTGTGAAACCATGAACACATTTATATAATCATAAGTAATTACCAGTATGTTTTAACTTGCAAAATG